TGTAAGATATATAGAAGCAGGAAGGTAAACATTAAGAACACAAGTTATATGGATATACTCCTAGTTTTATTACATACTACATTTTGAAGCACAAACAGGTAATGTTATCAAAATGATTTTTACTTGATAACATTACCTATATGTGTTTCAAAATGTAGTATGTCATAAAACACAAACTAGTATATCTATATAAATTGTGTTCTTAATCATTACATATAGTAGTATTAAACAAAAACAGTTAATTAAAAAATTATTCAAGTTATATTTATACATATCAAGTTATAAATATACAATTTACAAATCAAAACAAAAATGCAACACTTTGAAACTAAAAAGTGAGTTTAACTGTAATATTTACTATTATATTTAGTACTGGTATTATTTATATTTATATTACTGTTTTTACTCCCTTAAAAGAAATTAAATCAAATATGGTATTTAAAATGAGAATTTTAACATATTTTACAAAAATAAAATTACATTTCCAAATAGTTCCAAAACAAAATAATGAAAGAAAATAAAAAACCATATTTAACTTAGCATTTCTTTTGAAACCTATCATATGGTCCCTACAATCAAAATGTTTGCATGTTTTAAGTGAAGTAACAAAATAATTCAATTACAATTAACATAAAGGAATAGTTCCAGATAACCTAATTTATTACAGAATGTTAATCTTAATGTTACATGTCCCTGGTAAGTCAGTTAGTGCATCTTTAGCAGAATATCTTCTAAACACCCTAAGATTTGTCAAATATGCCAAGTACTAAACTTATCAGCTTTCTCAATAGTTTTGTGTTCTTTTTGTTCTATTGTCTCTTGACAATAGAACAAAAATAACACAAAACTAATTATCAACATTAGCATTTAATAAGATTTCGATATGTCCCAAGTGATGCAATTCCATGTGATGTTTATCTAAATACACTGGATCCATATTCCCCACCCAAAATATTAATCTTTGTTCTACATTCTAGGTTCATGTGAACTATTCCTTTAGTATAATTAAAAAGTTAAAAACTATTTATATGAGTTTTAATAAACTACATACAGTATTAAATAACTGAATCAACTTAATCTGTACCTAGCTTTATTATGTAACTAGAGCAAGTTTGACCATTTACCTCTGTTTCGGGCCCAATAACTAAATAACTCTATAAGTTTTCAGGTTTTCTCAACATGTTATATATATTTCCTCAAATGTTGACTGAAAATATAAAAAATACTCCTCTAAAAATACGGCACAAACTATTCATACTTCTGTCTATACATATGATTGCATATGCTAACTTAACCAATTCAGTTGAAAGATGATTCTTCTTAAATTACTTTCATTTGATAATATTAAATGCATTTTGAAAAAAAATAACAGAATAGAATAGTACCTTATTTATTACTGTTAATACAGTTGAAATGTTGTGGTAGTACATGTGAACTTGGACATTTCAGTCTCAGATTATTGTAAACAGTTGTACCAGTACTCAGCTATCTATGTATTCTGCTGTCTTTCTTCAAAAACTATTTTCATTCCTACCCACCAAACCCCCATCGTTACCCACCCCCACCCAACAGAGGTAAATGGTCTCCCCTACCCATCTTCTTTCCTTTAAAATACAACAATATATCTGAACTGTTTCTGAAAATAGAAAGTAAATTACAATAACTGAATGTTAACAGCTTCATGATAACTATAATATGTAGGTACAATAGTAATTTTTACACGTTTTAAATTAATACCTGAACTCATATAAACATGATCTAATATTGTATTGCCTTCTGTTGTACTCTCTGTCACACACTGTCTAAACCTGAATTCTTGAAAACCATCCTTAATAGAACTAGGTCCTTCTAATAGATTTTGATTGAAATCTCCCATAATAATATAATGATAACCTGACTTTTGTAACTCAGTCAACAATCGTT